CGCAATACTATGCGTTGTCGGTGGGGGCGAATTTGCAAGTAATGTACATACAAAGGTATATTATTATGTTTACAGAAGAAGAAGGTTTGAATACAATGGCGGGCGAAAAGGAAAAGTACCACCGCCTATCTCTGTGCTGCCTTTGTTGCCGCCGATGTAAAATCAGCAATATGCATTCCTCTTCAGTTGCCATTTTGATCTGAATATCTCGTGACCCGACTCTAGACTCTACTACCCCCTGTTGCAATCAGTTCCAATCGGTCCTAATTTCAATCGGTGTATTGCATTTCACGCATCGCCTGTGACGCTTGCGTACTATGAAAAGGAGCGTGTAGCTCGCGTCGCTCGCGTTGCTTGGTCGCGTTGACTATGTAACGGCCCATAGGCTCATTTTACAACTCCCCCAGAGTTAAACTGTTGAGTTTTACCATTTTTGAATCCATTCAGCCGATCTCCGGTTCTGGCGGTACCACTTTTAGCATAGCTTAGCATACATCATTGAAGTGGACAAGACCATTAGCATTTCTAAAAAAAAATGACCAAAGAGTTTCGATATTTTTCCTATTTAAACCTTGACTCTTCTGTAGTTACATCGTGCACTAAGACCAACGGAAAATGTAAAGTTGCGATTTTCTAGGCTGATATGGCTAGGAACTAAACTCTCATTCCTGAGTAATAATCAAGAAACTTTACTGCCGTACCATGAGTGCAGCAGGCGTAATGATATGACGCAGCGCCTGAAAATAGGCCACCTTCCGTCAACACAACGGAACTATTTTCAGGCGCTGCGTCATATCATTACGCCTGCTGCACTCATGGTACGGCAGTAAAGTTTCTTGATTATTACGCAGGAATGAGAGTGACATCTCAACAGTTTAACTCTGGGGGAGTTGTAAAATGAGCCTATTTCCAAAAAAAGTGTAGTATCCCTTTAAATGAACATTGTTGAATATATAATTTGAATATAACTGTTAAGACCAAATTTGACAGATTTTGTTTTAACTCTGTCTCATGACATTCCAGTATCTTTAATGGAATTTTGTGCTATTTAATTGGTATCTCGCTGCTGAGGACAAACTGAAACATTATCTCTACTTCAAGCAGCATAGCAACATCTGGTCATTATACAGTTGGTCGCTTAGATCAATTTCTTATCAGCATCTGTCATGTGATTCCACTAAGACTACATTACACACTCATCCGTTTCTTCTCAAATCTGGAGACAGGTTGGATTTTTCATCTACTCTCTATAGATTTTTTGTTGTCGTTGCTTTCTACACCAATGAAGACCATAACCTTTAAATATTAGCTGTTTAAAAGACACTCCACCACGTATAAATTATGTCTGTATTGTGGCCTATACTTGGTGGATAAACCAAGGCCAGCTGTGCCCCCATAATCTACTGTACTGTACAAACGACTGTTCATCTCCACCCAAGATTATCCAGCGGAGCAATAGTGCCCATGTTGTGTCTCTTCCCACCATCACATCTGATGGTCAATCCACTGCTGTCCTATAAAGATCGATATAAAAACCAGCCAATTACACAAACTTAAAGCTACAGTCCCTAACTTATTATCCCAAATACATTTTTGAGAAAATACATAACCAGCCTGTGTTCAAAACTATCTGCTTGCCTTAGCTCGATTCAAAACAGTATGCTTGTAATAATGTTTTTAATTCCAGTGGTACTGGTGGATTACGGGAAATTCGAGCATGTCTTTGCGTCATTATGTCACATCTGTACACATAAAGAAGGAGTCTCGGCTAGTAGGCTATTGCGAGGATGTTGAGGTGGAGATTTATAGTCTTTTCTCACAGCACTTGATATAATTAAACTTATTAATTTGATGGTGGATCCAGAAAGGTTCAAACGACAATCACCAGTGACAACTGGAGATTCACCCGTTGTAAAATGCAAAAGACTTCGGAGTGGCTCCAGAAAAAAGAGAGACTGCAACCGGACCCATGCGAAAACAAGGATAATATCGGAAGGGCATTAAATGTAGTCACACAATGCTGATGTTGTTAACATTAACAATTTGTGAACAAAGTATAATTTGCATGGTTTGACGTGATATGATAAGCGATCGTTAATCAGCACGATTTACTGCAATGCTTTTTTCCCTTAGTTGGTCAGAACAAAAGTGGATGTTACTTACTTGTTCAGATGACATTTTCCGGTGAAAAAAGTAGAATCTGTGATTCCGAATGACAGTATCCACACCGGCGCGGCGACTGACAGCCGCACATTCTCCTCAAAACAATAATTCATCTGCGCTGTGCCGTGCCGAGGCACAACCCACGTAAAATTTATAATTCTGCGAACAACTGCAATTGCAGATTTCGAACAGAGATGGCGACAAAGAGGAAAAACTACGGCAGCTTTAACCTTGAAATCAATACAGCTTTTAGCACTCAATGGCAAATGAGAATGCTATTCTGAAACACAGCATCTAGATAAAAAAAAAAAAACCATACAAACTATAAATGTGTTCAATCACAATATAGAGGGACAAAGTCTCAGTGTGTGTCAGAACAGGGAACACTTGAACTGATCATGATAAAATAAAGTGACATTCATTTTAGGACAGAGATGATTAGCAGTACAAAATGTCTAGTTCTTCACATGGACAATTTAGCCTGATGAGAAAAGTGACCTCAAGTCTGGCTGTTTATGTTTCCTCTTATTTTCGGCAGCAGTTGAAAGCCTTACGAGAAGCAACTGTATAAGCTGATTTCCGCTGTGGTTGTGCAAGAGCTCTGTTTTAACTGGGACAGCGGCGCTGCTTAATTCTACTTCAGAGCTGGATTAGCATGTGTCATTACAATGATGCCACTGTAAGATTACCTGGGTTTATGAAGACCAGCATTAACTAAAAAATGGGCATTTATACTGTACATGCAAGGATTAGAAAACTACTTCACATAAAATGGCGAAATGCAGACAGTTATTGTGTTAAAAGCATTAGGCCTACATACTGGAAAAAAAGAAAGAAAGAAAGAAAGAAAGAAAGAAAGATTGCACCATTTTGTTGTTTTCAGCCCATTCCAGATGGATTTGCTGAAAGCCTCTTGTTTTGGCCAAGCAGAAGGATTGTGTGGTGAATACTGATCTTAAGGAATGAACTCTTACAGCAATGCTCACAAAAAGGACATTCATTTACAAAATGGCAAATGACAGCATTGAGAATTCAGCACAGACTAGAGTAAATTATCTTTACTTACAAGTCTCATCAGCCAATAAATAGATGAACATACAAGCTGCCTCAGCTTCCTGTTTTGATACAGCTTTTGAATGCTCTCATTTCTCACTTTATATGTGGATTTTTTTATTAGGGGACTAACATAATTGTATCAGGCTTTGTTTAACAGATAAACAGCCATTCACCCTGTGTCATACACCTGACAAACAGACACTCTAAATGACCCATTTTGACCCCTTAAATGCACTAAACTGCAATAAGTGATATGATAATCATGTTCTCAGCTTGACTTCAATTTTGGAATATCTCAGTCATATAATAAGGCTGTATAACATGTTTGTGAATGCATTTGCGATTATATATAGAACGTTAATCCAGTTATTACCTTTTCAGGTATAACCTAATTATCTCTCCTGGCTTAACGACAAAAACATTTAGCAGTGAATTCCTTACTGTTGAAGTAATGAAGAAAATAATATATAAGGATAGGGGCATTTCAGACCCAAGCTTATCAAAGCAGTATTCATTACTATTTTTAAACTCTTAAGAAGGACTATGATGGTTTTAAGATGACAGGTGGACATGTTTATATTGCTGCTGAGTTACATCACTTTATGGGAGCCTTATCCCAACACCAGCAAAATGTTCCTTTTAATCTGTAGGTGAAATAATTAATAATTTACTGTATATTTTATATCAAAGGGGATTAAAGAAATTAAATATATAAATGTATAAAATCATTGCATTTATTTTTTACATATACATATCAAAATTGGATAACACTATTTTAAGGTTACATTGTTACACATGTACTACATGTACTTACAAAAGTAATAACATAAATAATGCATAATTACAAGCAACTAACCCTAAACCAAACCTTAACCCTTTCTCTTTAAATACATGTAGTTAATTAATATTACTAATTTGAGTAAGTACAATGTAACTAGGCTATGTCACCTTAAAATAAAGTGTATCCTAAAATTGTAAAAACTGAAATAGCCTCTGAAGTGCACAATTACAATCTTACCTGACCATTAAAAATGACTTCAATTGAAACCTAATGCTGTAAAGTTGATTCAGTCATATTAAATAATATTTATGACTTGTAAAAGCTTTAAAAAAATAGATTTTTACCACATTTTTAATGTTACCTGACATGTATTTGTAGATGACTAAATACTGATTAATAAAAAAAAAAACTGAAATCAGCTCAGCTGCTCTGAGGAACACTGGGCTGGAAAAAACACATTTATGACTTATAAAACCATTAATTTAGATATTACCACAGCATGTAGAAACACTCTGAAAACACTGCATGTGAAGAAAATGCTTCAAAATATAAGTTGCTGCTGTGTACCAATCATAATTTCTCAGATTGATTTTCTTTCCTCTTAATTGACACCCAAGAAATATATGGTTAGATTATTCTCTAACCTCCGGGCTCCATCACCATGTCATCCATTTTTTTTTGTCATGTCAATTAATTCAACAAATCCATGAGGCAAATATTGCTCCATAATAAAAAAAGTTAAATTTTTGACTCTGTACTTAGTAGGCCTATAATTATTTCTTAACACATCGTCATTATTGATATTTTTATCATAATAATAATAATATATAATGCTATATGCATAATATTTTAGCTAGCCTACAATATAGGCAAATAATGTGTTACACAATGTAAAATTACAGCAAAATATTGCACATTCCTTTCAGTACAGTAAGTCCCCCTCTCTCTTTTTAGTGACATCACTGTGGTGTCCATAGGTGGAGCTGTCGAGGACAAAGAGAGGGACCACACAGCCTCAAGTTCTCCAGCTCACTCACACAACTCCACGAAAGACACCCACATGACGGCAGGAGATCAACCCATACCAAACGATCATGATGTTGATGCCACCATCACAGACTTGCATGCTGCTCTAGAAAGCACATTTCTCAGATCTGTCTTCGTGGCCACTGAGAGAAAGCCATTGGATGATAATCTGCGCGGATCTGGAGGACACTGAATGGGAGTAAATAGACAAGAGGCGTAAGAAACAAACGGGGGAGCGACTCATTCAGCAGCACCGTGCTTTTCTTTGAGTGTAACGTTTCGAGTCCACACCAGGATTCTGTTTCGTTGTAGACAGCACATTGTGCACGGAAGGATCTGGATTTAGCGGAGGGAGAGTCGGAAAGCTCCGTTTTATTGAGCCATGAAGAAGAACAGTTCAACAAAGCGGGTAAGACATCGAGTCCACTCTATTGTCAGTGAGGAGCGCCGTGAGCCTTTGTGCACTAGTGTGAAACACTGCAGCACGAACACTTCAGTTTACTCAAACACAACGTTTAAAAACATTTTCCAACATAGCACATGCATTATAATTTATTCTGGTTGTACATTTTAAAGTCGACATGATATTCTTCTGCACGCCCTTTTTGGAAGTTGTTGACCAGGTTTATGATAGTGAAAGGAACAAGTTTTTTGTTTTAATTCTTCGGAATATCAATATATATAGGCCTATATTATTAACAAATCACCCAATTCTAAAAACCCGAAAGAAAATTCCCAAGGGAAGCATAGCTTGAAAATGCTAATTCTCTTCTGGGTTTTAGATCTACAAACTGAACACTTAACATGCACTATTAATGAGTCGATTAAATTACTGTCCAAAACGACTAAAAAGCATAATAAATGACGCCTCCAATATTTCCAGACTAGAATAGCAGGCAAAGAATGGGCATGTTTCATCTGAAGTAGCTACAGTGATCATACTATCCTTACTAATAATGAGATTAAAAGACATTTTAGGCTTAATATTAAGAAATGTGCATTGTGCAATAAAGAAGTACTCCAAATAAAATTTTGGTAATATGCTGATAGCATACAGCTGAGGAGCATTTAAACATATATTTTTTTCAGAATAAAGGCATAACCAGATTATGGATGTTATGTTTGTTTTTGCACTCTTTGAGTTTAACACAACAAACAAAAGCTTTTTCTTTCCATTATTTTGCATGTACACAGCCTTTTAATCTCATCATACTCAATTCAGATGGCAAGATCCCAACTCAGGCAAAATATTGAGGGAAACACTGGTGTGTGTGTATGTGCTTGTGCTGTGTGATAAAAGTGAGTAAGCACCAGGAATGTGATATGATCTACATGACAAAGACAATGTCTTTAAGAAAGTCTCCCCCTTTGCTAGAGATTACGGCGGTCTCAAAAACGTGTGAACTGCCTTCCTAGACGGCATAATGTGCATCATAGATTTATGAAGGCCCAAAACTGCTTTGAAACCGACAATTAGACCATAACTCACATGCTTCTGTGTTCTCTCTGTAAACGCAGGGCTCTCAGGAAGCCAATCAACAGCCCGTGCAGCCTGACAAAACTGGCTGGATTCGCAAGTTCTGTGGCAAAGGAATTTTCAGGGAAATTTGGAAAAACAGATTTGTTTTACTGAAAGGAGACCAACTCTACATATCTGAAAAAGAGGTAAGTTTTGGACAAAACCTTTTTCCTGTTCATGCTTTTCTCCACATCAGCATCATTTGACTGATGAGATGCTACTTGTGTAACATTCTTACAATGATATTCAGTACTGCTTTCAGTATAGTGTGTGTGAGAAAGTGTGTAAAATGTGTTCCAGTTGCTTGGAGGCATGGACGAGTTACATGACATGCCCTCATCCTCGAAAACCATGAACAAAACTACACAACGTAAAAGAAAATATGATCCAGACTACAATATAAGGGTATACTTCCAATGCAGAGAAACATGGTTTGTACTGACCACAATATATTAAAATTCAGGAGACAAGAAGAAACCCATCACTCAATGGCACACTCATGGTACACCATGGTAATAATAATAATAAATGTTATTGATTTCCTATTAATGATGAAAGTAGGCAGATTACATAACTTTGAGTTCATGTGTATAGCGGGTCTGCGATCATTCATTTTTAAAACTAGAGAGTCAGGCTATTCAAATGCATGTATTTAATGTTAACAAATAATTTACAAATATCTAGTGTGATCCAAGTCAAACCGCATGAGGTAACTTTAGCATAACATATGCAGAGGTAAAAAATCATATTGATTGCCCTGATTATAATGATGAATGTTCTGGTGATGGTATGTTTTGACATACAGGAAGTTACTAGTTCTTGTAATGAAATCACATGACTTCCTCCAGTTGTTCCTCACATGAAATAAATAGATAGTTAAGCCAAAAATAAAAGTTCTGTCATCATTTGCTCATGTCTTTCGAAACCCGTTTGGCTTTCTTTCTTCATTGGAAATGAGAAGTTTAGCAGAATGGAAGTAGATGGGAACCAGGGGCTGTCGAGCTTCAAAAAGCATTAGTCCCAACAATATTTCACTGTATGAAAAGCAGCAGTTTGAACTTTCCACACTATAAAAAAAAACTCCTTTTGTGTTCCACGGAAGGAAAAAGTCACACAGATTTGGAAAGACATGAGCGGGAGTAAATGATAGAATTGTGTTTTTTGGGTGAACTATCCTGCTCTATTCAGGTCAGGCTACATCCAATTGCAGACATTACTCTGGAATTAGAGCCGGTTGTGATGAAAGGCCAAGCATGACAATATAAACATGTTAACATTCAATTAGCAGACTGTCATTTCCAAATTCCAAGCAACACATACTGTCAGCATGTGCATGTCAGCATGTTAGAGGTTTAACAAGTTCAGTAAGCATGAAGGAACAGGAAAATAAAGGGCCTTTATTCTGGAGCGAGGCTGATTTACTGCAGTGTGGGAGGACGAAGGGAAGGAAGGCAGGATTGAGGTTGAGTCATGGTCACGCAGAAGACTGTTTGCTGTGCTCAGCATCAGATCAAACAATGCCGAGGCAGCATATGGGCTGTGGCTCACAGCTCAGAGGGAGGATTGACCCTTTTAGTGCTTAACAGACTGAGGTTTCATCATGCTGTCGTCTAGATGTTTCTCTCCAGCTGTCTAGACAGACAACAGATTTTAATGATCTGATGCTGTTGTTTTTGGTATCATGTTTCCTAAAAGATAAATGCCAAAATGATTTCCATATTTATATGGTAATTTGAATATCCCAGCTTAAAGAGTTAAATATATTTCTACAACATATACCATCAGGTATCTGGGCTTATACTAGGCCTATACAAAATATTATTTTTGATTTTTTTTTATACTGTCTCCTAGGTGTTAAACGCACAATTCCCCCAAAAATGAAAATGCTGTCTTCATTTACTCACTTTCATTTCATTCCAAAAGCATATGACTTTTTCTTCTGCAGAACACAATAGGAGAATATTTGAAGAAATTGTAATAAATAGTTTCAATGACAATAGTTCTGTCATGACAACTCTCGGAGTGTGTGGCATGGTAATGGATATGACATTGTTGACATGTTTGGTCTTGGTGGAATAGATCTGCTACGCTGCTGCTTTTGGTCATTGCTGCTGATGCAGAGCAAGTACAGGACTTGCTACTGCCAATACATGCATGACGCTGCTGTGAGCAAATAAGACATTTTGCATTCAGCTGTACAATATAACATACATGAATTACCCATAGCAGATTTATACAGGTGGAGCTGGAGAAGGTGGAGGGTTTTTGGAAGCACACTGCAAACTGCTACAGCAAATGCTGACCAAGTATTTGAAAGTTTATCAGTGAGCTCATTGGTTACTGATACAGCAGGAACCAATCAGCTGTGCCCAATAGAGAATGATGTGATTGCAAGCAGATTGAGTTAAAGGATTAGTTCACTTTTAAAAAAACTTTTGCTGACAATTTACTCACCCCCATGTCATCCAAGATGTCCATGTCTTTCTTTCTTCAGTCGAAAAGAAATTAATGTTTTTGATGAAAACATTCCAGGATTTTTCTCCATATAATGCACTTTGCTGGGCACCAAACGGTTCAAGGTCTAAATGACCGTTTCAGTGTAGCTTCAAAGGGCTTTAAACGATACCAGACGATGAATAAGGGTCTTATCTAGCGAAACGATCGGTCATTTCAAAAATAAATAAAAAAGTTAAAGTTTTATAGGCACAAATGCTCGCCTTGCGAACTCTCCTGTTCGAACTCGTTCATCAAAATCAATGACTCGAAAAAAGATTCGTTCATTTTGATGAACGAGTCAATGACTCGAAAAAAGATTTGTTCATTTTGATGAACGAGTCAATGACTCGAAAAAAGATTCGTTCATTTTGATGAACGAGTTCGAACAGGAGAGTTCGCAAGGCGAGCATTTGTGCCTATAAAACTTTAACTTTTTTATTTATTTTTGAAATGACAGATCGTTTCTCTAGATAAGACCCTTATTCATCGTCTGGTATCGTTTAAAGCCCTTTAAAGCTGAACTGAAACGGTCATTTAGACCTTGAACCGTTTGGCTACCATTGAAGTCCATTATATGGAGAAAAATCCTGGAATGTTTTCATCAAAAACATTAATTTCTTTTCGACTGAAGAAAGAAAGACATGGAACTCTTGGATGACATGGGGGTGAGTAAATTATCAGCAAAAGTTTTTTAAAAAGTGAACTATTCCTTTAAGGATCTATCAGCATGCGCCATCTAGAGTTTCATGATTGAACTTTGTATTTTGTCAGTGAATAGGAATTAAGACTTAAGTACCATAAAAAAGTACCATAAAAATATCAGAAAAGGATTAATTGTAAAAAATGTATCATGGAATTCATTTTTGCCAAAATACCACAGTTAGCTACAACAAAGTTGTGGTAACTTAATACTACTTTCCTCAGCAAAAAATTAATTAAACTGACAGAAAGATTCTGAAAGTGCCCCTATTAATATAGTATAGTTTTACAGTAGTAACAGTAACTTTATAAACTAACGTTACCATCTTACATTTAGGATACGTTTACACGACAACAATATGCTTAAAATGGAGAAGTTTTTCCTTTGAGTTTTACAGATTCCGTTGTCAAAACAATCCAAAACAACCATTGTCAAAACAATCCCCATTCACACGAATCCGCGAAAACGACTAAAAACGCTGTATTCTGCTGCCAGGCCATTAGATGCAATGAAACACAATAGACTGAATATGTAAAACGCATGTGCAAAACGTCATCGTTTTCACAGATTTGCATTTTTGTTGTTCACATGGAGACTGTTTTCAAAACCTTGCACTTTGAAACCCATTTTCAAATGTTTCAGGCACCCAAACTCTGTTGTCGTGTAAATGAACGGCCAAAAATGCATAAACATTTGAAAATGCTGTCGTGTAAACAGTTTTTAAGATTTTAGGGTGAAAATGTTAGTTATACATGCATATGCAAAACTAGCTGCCATGCTACTAGGGAGGGAGCTATATTACTGCATTGATGTGTGGTTGCTTGGAGGTTACTTAAAGTCGCAATGAAACAGAAGGAGCGGCAGATCTTTTCTTCCATATTGTGACACATCCAAGTGAACGAACAATCAGAAAAAATATACGGCGGAACTTGGTCCTTTCAATTGGTTATTGATTGGATGGAGGGAGATTGGCTAACAGTAAAGCCCTATTCGGACAGGACTTGTTTTCCAAATTACGTTAGAGTAACAATTCTTATTTGAAATCTGAGATTTCATGTACCGATTCGGACAGGATTAACAGCGCTGTGTTTATTACAGAGGTGGGAGTGTGTGTTTTCTTTATGCGGGCGTTATAGAAGCTCATCTGCTCTGCTTGTGTGCATCATCAATCATCACATATGACTTATATGTCTTTTAATGAATTATTTACTGATATAATTTGAATTTAGGCTATTGTAAAAACCTTTTTAAGTAAACTTCACAATTTATAGAAGTGGCTGTTTATAATAAACTTACATAAGTGAGCAGAGAAATCTAGACAAGTATCCTACTCTTACCTGACACTGATTCAACAAGATTCAACTCACTCAAGTCAGTTTAATGTAATTTAAGATGAAATTTCTTAAACATCCATGTTGACTGTACTTAAAGGTATAGCAGAGGATTTTCTTTTTCCGGGTGGATCATCAAGACTTGGTCCTCCTAGTTGTCAATCATTCTGGTGATATGTTTACGTAAGGCCGTCGTACGTGCTCTTCCCTAGGTAGTTTTTTGCTTTCTGCGCATGCACACTTTCAGGTGGTGAGCTACGGTTTCAGCCATTCATTGAAGCTCGCCGCTCTCACCGGGTTTTTTCAAAATGTCTGAGGGTCGCAAGAGAAAAAGTGTCTACAAATTGTATGACAAGAAGAGAAAGGCCTCTGAAGAAAGAAACAAGACCAGAGTGATTTTGGGAGAATATTTCACACGCTGGCGAGCGCTAAAAGCACAGGTTGGGCTTCCCACCGATGCCTCAGTCGCGAAGTTTTTACTCGACAGGTAAAGTTTGGCATGCTATTTAATAATAATAATAATAATAATTCGTTACATTTATATAGTGCTTTTTCTGGGACCTCAAAGCGCTTCACATATGGAAGGGGGGAATCTCCTCAACCACCACCAATGTGCAGCATCCACCTGGATGATGCGACGGCAGCCATATTGCGCCAGCTTATTGGTGGAGAGGAGACCGAGTGATGAAGCCAATTAGTATATGGGGATGATTAGGAGGCCATGATGGACAGAGGCCACTGGGCAAATTTGGCCAGGATGCCGGGGTTACACCCCTACTCTTTTTCGAAGGACATCCTGGGATTTTTAATGACCACAGAGAGTCAGGACCTCGGTTTAACGTCTCATCCGAAGGACGGTGCTCTTTGACAGTATAGTG